AAAAATTATAAAGCTCATAAATATAATATTGAAAGTTGAAATAGAAAAAAAAATTAAATCAATAAAACTAATATATAACCTGATAAAAAATTAAAAAAAAAATACAAAGCATTTCTAAAATAATCTTGAAATTGGAAAAAGGAGAAGAAGAAGAAAAGTTGGGGTTGAGGGGCACTGTTTTAACTATAGCCTGTTTTGTTAATTAATTTGCTGCAAGTTATTGCCTTAGCATGACCTTTTTATCTTTTGCAGAGCAGTAAGAAATTATTCGACGAGAGAAATGAAACTAAGGCTTTTAATAATTTCAACGTAATTCGTCAGCCCAGACTGATTTTGTAATCACGATCCAAATCTATTATTTAATTGTTACGAACATGAATCTAAGATAAGGCACATTGGATAGCTTTTAACGTTCTAGATATGTGAATTGTGTACGACAGCGACACAAGCACTTCAGATTAACAAAAAAAATAAAAAAAGCCAAAGTTGCAAACAAGACACTGCATCCATAGAAATAAGCTTCGGCTTGAAAATAAATACAGAAATTATAGTATTTTCTGTATTTATTTTCAACACATCTCAGCTTATTATAAGTTCGAAATTCACACTCAAAATGTTACAGCAACAAGCTGGAACTCCCAAAATGAATACCGTTTTCTTCAAAACATACTACAAGCTTGTTATTGCTTTTCATGCACTTCAGCAAATTGCATCCGACTCTACATGGAAATAAAGCTCTCTGAGTGCTTATCACACGCTCTTAGTTTATAGAAAATTATACAGTATCATTCAGCAGTTGCAGTCTCATCCTCTGGTGTAAGATGTTCATGTTTGCCGAATTGGCTGAAGTTTCCCTTCTCCTTGAAGAGCTGATTATGATGATGCCGGCAATACAGACTATGCTCATGGGCTACATAGTTTGAGGGGCTGATGACACAGCCTCCATGAGCGCATCTGAAACAAGCTTTATGATAAGATGTTCCATCAACTGCCACCTGAAAGATGCACAAAGTTGGGGACAAGAAACTATAAGAATAGTTCCCTATTTTTCTTTTTCCACAGCATCAAACATTCACTCTGAGATTTGAGAATCTTAGAAAACAAACACATGGTGTAGAGATTTCAGACTTGAATTGGAGCATTAATGGAGAACTACACGATGCAAAGATGTCTATTTGTGAAAACATTTTGAGATAAAATAGAAAAAGATTTGACTTGTATTCAAGCCCAAAACTTAAAGTTCTTGGACATCCTTGGTAGCATAGCTTTCTATTTTCATTAGTTTTGAACATCCTGCAAAACAAGCAAGGCCATCGGCTGTAATGATCTGAAAAGATTTATTTGCTTAATTTAATGCCTTACATCTTCCAGCCCTAGTGGGAAAAAATGATTTTATTCCATCAAAACATGCATTATTACTATTATTAAACCATCCCATTTACCTTTTCGAGGGGGTAAACAGTTTTCTTGCAAGCAACACATTTTTCCTGAGTTCCAGCAAACATACTTGAAACTTTGCTGTTGCTAAGGACCTGTGCAGTTTCATTCACAAAAAGAAGCATCTTAATAACCATTTTAAAGATTAATAAAAAAAAAATATGAAATGGTTGTAACTTGTAATGAAGTTTCAATACCTGATCGGCAGACCGGTCACCTCTAACAGTTTTCGGAGTGCCTAGGAAAGGGAGATGAAAATAACGGTCCGTGAGTGAAATTAAACATGTGGATGTTACACAGGGTATTGTGCTTCAGGAAAATTAATAACTGGTACTCACCTTCAAAACTTTTATCCAAGCTGCCTGTCATCTTGAAAAGTTGATCAAAGTGAGGCTTGCAATATAAAACACCTTCAAAGGATGAATAGTTGCTCAACTGCAAAGGTAAGAAGGAACATGTTTAGATCAATTATGAAGAAAACATCATAGAAAACACGAGTTCATATCTGTTTTACAATGAAAAAGGGCACCATGTCTTCTTAGGAACCTAATCCCGAAGCTGCCCAAAATCTTTATAATAGGTTTCTGCATATGGCTACTACTAGTTTGACCAGAAAATCCTAAGTAGGTGTAGTTATCAACATTCTTATTCTGCTATATGTTAGTTCTTCAATCTCTGATTACCTTTTTGTCATCACTCAATTACTTCATATAATGCTATACTATGTCTTTTGATTTCAGAAACAAGACCCAGGTTCATCCCCCAGAGGTGCAAGCAGAAACGTAACTCAGAAAGTCATGAGATTGGAGAATGAATACGCAACTCAATTATGATCCATATATGCTTCCAATAAAGATAAGTTTCAATGTATCTTCATTGATGAAGTGAAATCCTTTACAATAAGTTTTCTTCCCTATGTATTCACACCCACTTCAATTGCCATGAGATTTGCCAATTGCATGCTGATTTAGTTAAAACCATGTTTCTGGTGGTACCTAGCAATCAGTATGGCAAAAAAGGAAATGAGAAAAAACTGCCACTGTTGGTTATCTTATCTGTGTTCATGCTGCAGGTCGCATATATATATCAACTTAAATCATTCAGTTAAACCAGGAAACAAAGTTCAATATGAAAACAATATGATTCACACGCTCCAAGGACTAAAGAAACAGACAATTTGCATTTACTCAACCTTCTAGAGGTCCTGCTGTGTCCCTGTACCATGACAATAACTGCATGTATCTCTCCCTGGTAATCTAATAAAGTTCTCCACATTATGATGTAATATTGCCATAAAATCAACTACAAAAACAGACACCTCTGTATATGCAAAATTACCATTTTGCTGTTTTAAATTTGATATCTGAGAAATTGTTGAATCAACTATGTGGTTTGAAAATGAACAAAACTCCATTCTTCTCTTCCCAACTACCAAAAAGACCGACAGAAAACAAAAGCATTGAAGAATTGCTTTTCAACCCATCCACAAGTCATTGTTTGCTTGACAAAGATTTGAAAATGTGACCTCTCTCTCAACCCCACCTCTCTCCTTCCCTTGACATCCTGTGGGGATACTCCATCACCGCTTAAAACTGAGGATCTACAAATAAATTTTATGGCCAAAAAAAGGGGCCTACATCAACCAACTAGGACAAACAGCATTTAATATCAAAGAGTCTAAAAAACCCCATCTATAGATCATCCAATTGAAAAAAAGGAAAGATGAATACATATGCAAAATCTTGATCTCAATTACTTGGATCCCCAGAACAAAAGAACATTTCTATTGTTCGAGTACAAGCTATGGCATTATATATTGGGATAATCATGATGGAAAGTAAACCAGCTTCAAAAAAAAAAAAAAAACATCCTTTCAGTTGAAATGAATATTATCTAATCTTGACACGACAAGCAAGCACACAATCATCAAGTTACACAACCTTCTCTATAACCATGTACTACAAAAGTGAAGAAATTGAACTAAAAGGTGACTATAAATATGTATGATCCAGTAAAAGAGGAGATGTCGATATTATATCTGTTTCTTTGAGCAGACTTCTGCATGTACTTGTGATACACACACACAAACACACACACACACACACACACACACAAAGGGAGGGTGGTATCAACCTTGAGGGTACCCTTGCAGTGGTGGCATCTAAAACAAGCCTTGTGATAGACTTTGTTATCAACGGTGAGTTGATCCACCAAGTACACAGTCTTATCACATGCTTTACACTTCTGAGTTGTCCCTGCAAATGTTGCCATCGATGATTACTTTACTTTGTCAAATAAAAGGGTGATATAGATATTGATAGATGATATCTAGCTAGCTATCTATCTATCTTTCCGATGGATCTTCTTCTTATTCCCAAAAACCTTCGAAATGATTGGTGGTGGTGGTGATAAATGGTAAGCGGAGAGGAGACTTCCAAAATCCGTGCGCGTTCGGGATTTACAGCCCAGAGAGTTAAAAAGAGAGAAACCTAACAATACAGATACGTATTACTAATTTACTAGTAGACCGTAGACGCAATAGAAAATGCAAGGCGTCTTTGATGGCGGCATTTTGGTCATTTTCCAAAACCAAAGTAGCTAAGTATATTACATTATTGCCCTACGTTTCGACAGGTGTCAAGCTACTAGACTTGAGTCATCGACTGTAAGAGAAGCTCTGTGATTTTATTCTTACAAGAATCTAATCTAGTTCAGCACTAGATCGATTCGAACATATCCTGTTTTTCGCTTTTCAGGGCATTAAGTGATAGTTACAAAAGACAGAGATATATTAAAATATTTTTTTTACTTTTTAAAATTTATTTTTAATATTAATATATTAAATTAATTTAAAAAGATTAAAAAAATACTTTAAAGAAAAAAATTTAAAATTTCTCAAAACTTTGTTCAACCATCAACCTATAAGAGTAGCACTATACTTTTTTATTCATACAAGAATCTAATCATGTTCAGTATTAATATTTTTTATTTAAAAATATATTAAAATATTTTTTATTTTAAAAATTTTATTTTTATATTAACATATTAAAATAATACAAAATTATTAAAAACATTAATTTAAAATAATCAAAAAATTAAAAATTTTATCAACCACCAACCTAATCATGGTAAGGTGTTCTTTGAACCAGCTTTCTTTCAATTTTTGGAATTTTCAAAAGAACATCACCAATACTAATTTTAAGTTTAAGTAGTTCGCATGTTAATTTTAGCAAATACACTTTCCTTCAAAATAATAATAATAATAATAATAATAATAATAATTACCAAGCAGCTTGTAGCTCAGTGGCGTAAGGTGCTACTCGCCTTCTTTCGAACTTCGGTTCGAGTCCCGGTGAGAGTGGGGCTGGCGAGTGGTGTTCTTCCTGGTTCTGCTGGCTCCTTGCTGTGTGGTACGCCTGTCACCCCCACGGTGCCTAACCTGTTCACTGAAACTTGCAGGATGTCCAGTGGACCGTGAGATTAGTCGTGATGCGCGTAAGCTGGCCCGGACACCCACGTTAATCAAAAATAATAATAATAATAATAATTCTATTAACAATTAAAGAATTTATCTTATTTAATTCTTACTGTTATCTCTTAACAATGCACAAATCATCATATTTTTCTAGTTTGAATTTGGATTTGACAACTTAATTAGTCCCTTAAACTCGTAGTGGATATATGTTGCCTACCTTAATGATCCAAAAATAAAGTCTGCTTTTGCAAAGAAACGAGGGAGAGTGGAGTTCTTGCATGAGCTTTTCATAAATTGTGCGGACATTCCAAGAGGTTTGCAATGCTGGTGAGAATTGCTGATAATCTTCAGTTGACTTCGGAGTTGGGCTATAGCCTTTTGTAGGTCGTGTCTCTGTCTCCCTGCCTTTATGTTCTTTCAATGAGGCTGTTGCTGAACACATCTTGTGGATTCTTCTGGTGATGCTTGCTTCAGTATCAGTTAGCTGTTTCCTCCTTTCAGTATCTGTGGAAGCTGATTCGATCTCTGAGGATTATGTCAAACCTGGTATTTTACTTCATTTCAATATGGTGATCCTGGTAAGGGCTGGCACACAATTGCAAAAGAAGGGCAGGTGATACTAGAATCTGGAAAATAGGATGACCACTATGTATCATTTCATCTTGAATTTAGAGTTAATCTTGTTAGTGTTTGCATGACCACGTTAGTGGCAACAACTCACAGCACAGGCAATAAGAAAAAAAAATATAAGATGCTTAATATCCCAAATTCAATTTTAACTAATTATGTTCTTGATTGAATGTTTTTTCTATCAGGCTTTGGATTCATCCATGAACCTGCAGGTAAGACAGCATCCTTTTTTTAATTTTCTAACTTTAAGTGGATAGATAGTTTCTTTTTCTTCAGTTTTTTTTTTTAAAAAATTCTCTGTTCCTTGGGATCCATTCATGTAGCTTACCTTGCGTAGTTCAGTCATTGGCTATCCTTTGTGTTAGAACTAGGTCCTCCATTGATTCTAATTGTGAACTTGGGTTTTGAAGGACTTCTGTCATCCATTTTCCCTGTTATGCTGTCCTCCGGCTGATGAGCTTCAGAAGTTATTATTCAAAGTGGAAAGTAGATTAACTATGTCTGCTTATATGTGTGTGTGTGTGTGTGTAGCAGATAAGAATACATGGTTACTCTTGCTTCAATATACAGAAGCAAGTCCTCTTCTCTTTCTGAATTTCAATAACAGAAGTAGCTTTTTTCTAAGAAAACCTTTTGACTCATTTGGTTTCTTACCATTTTACCTACTATAATTGTACGTTTGACAGTGTAAAGTTTGCAGTCCTTGGTTATTTTCTGGAGTGATGTCTAAACTATAGGCTTGCTGTGAGCTTTTCCTGTTCTTGTTGATCTCATGCTTGCAGGAATCTGAAACAAGGCAAACTTGTTACTAAAATCAGATATTTGCCTCAAACACATAATGAAAAAGAAGTGCAATTTGACTTATTCTTCCTGAACTTTACAGGATTTTTCCTACCTTCCTCTTCTGGAGACCCTTCAGGGCTCCGCCATGTAAGAATTTATGTTGCTTTTAAGTTTTGTCATGTAGATTGTAATTTACACCTTCAAAATACTCCTTGCCGTGGAAGAGGATGTGCTCTTAACTTGTTTAAATTCCTTAAACATTAGAAAATAGAGAGGGAGAAAAAACAAGACGTAGTTGCATGTTGCTTACCACTTTTTTTCTGGGTTTTTAAGAGACCCTTGTGAAAGGAACAATCTTGCAGGTGCCCTAGTTGAAAGCAGTCATATTTATCAGCCTGTGCCGTGCCGGTATGTCATCTAAGATGTGGAAAGTTACTGGTCGAGCATGCTCTAACATGGGTGCTTGATAGGAGACTATGGTTGTACTGCCCTGCTTGTTCTCAACAGGAACTGGTGAGAAGCTATCTGAAACTGGCGAGGCTCGCTTCTCTTGTAACCTCAAGTTTGTTTTGCAGTTTTCTTTTAGCATGCCTTGTTTCTTTTTCTCATTTCTGGCTTCTTATTTTCAACTCTGCCTTCAGGCTGATGCTCAAGACTTTGGTAATCACTACATTCGAACTTTGGTTACTTTAATTTGATTATGAAACCTCTCTTGGCTGCTCTTCACAATTATCTAGCATTCCTGTTGATGGTTCCTGCTGACACAATCCACAGAAGCTGCTGTTTACAAGGCATAGAGGAGCAGATATACCAGAATCCCTAGTCTGGAAATGATTATCTTTCCAGGAAGCTTGTGGCTCCGATGAATACTCGTCTGAAAAAAATTCATCGATATGCACAAATTCAGCTCGAGCTCGAGCGCAAGCAATAAAACTTGAATGCTTGAAATTAGACGAAAAAAATTCATCGATATGCACAAATTCAGCTCAAGCTCGAGCGCAAGCAATAAAACTTGAATGCTTGAAATTCTATAGCTTTGTTGTGGATTGCTATTTTAAATTCGTGCATTTGCTTGACAAAACAAAATACGACAACGAGATCTTTTAAATATCTGAAATTTGATTTGTTTTTCACGGTTTAATGGTGCCAGAAGAAGGATTTGCTTTGATTTAAAATTACTCTTTTATTTACCAAGTAAATTTTTTATGGAATTTTCTCTCCGAGAAAAAAAAAAGCTATTAAAGCCACATGATTGGATCATTTTAACCAAACTAAAGTAAATACTTCAATTGTGTGTGCTTTGATCATTCAACAAGGGCAAGAAGGATGGAAGAAAACAGATGTACATTCAAATGTCCAAGGGATCCAAAAACAGGCACTAGGAAGATTTTTCCATAGGCATGGTATGAAAAAATGACAAACTTTACAGCACAGAACCCAAAAAACAGAAGCTTTTGAGGGCAAGCATTTGATCACAAGTGGCAGTTACTACTTATTAGACACTGAAAAAATTGCAAATGGATCTGATGTACTTGACAGAAACAGAAATCTCAGACATTGAACACCCAATTATGCACTTTTCTTTGCCTCTTTCCGAGCTTCTTCCCGCATCACTGCTTTGACATAAATTTCATAGCAACAGCCTGAAACAAAATCATAGTATAAGATTGCAATTCCTGGTGAGATAATCTATACACTGTGCACCTGATATCCGGCTAAATTTAAGCAATACCATCATTCAAATCTTAAAAAGTTCATTTTTTTAGTTGATTAAAGTGCCTGCTTCCAACAAAATCCACTAGGAAAGCACTGGAAAGTTCAAGTAAAACAAGGACGACGATGACATGACAAGACTCTTATGCGAGTCTTTAGTGTATCAGATTACAGTCAGTCATCATGATATGGTGACAGTGCCCGAATAAAAGCTCAAATCATCTTACTCGATGTCTAGATGTGCTCTTTGGATAATTATTAATCATTCCAATTAACAACGACATTTACATGCAAAATGTTTGACACTCATTTTTTCCAGTTCTATACCCACTAATGAGGTTTAACCAATCCCAAATTGTTTTCACCCAAAAAAAAAATTTAAGAATTAATTACATGCAAAATGTTTGACACTCATTTTTTTCCAGTTCTATACCCATTAATGAGGTTTAACCAATCCCAAAGCGTTTTCACCAAAAAAAAAAATTAAGAATTAAGTGCAATTTTCTTCTACTTGTATGAAAGACAGCAACATACCTGCTACAACAACAAGGGTCAGAACATCTCCAGCTCTTTTGAGTCTCCACACACTCTTCTTATGTGATTTGAACCGCTTAAGAGCAGGGTCTTCAGCCAAGAGCTGTAAGATAAACAACTTATATTTAGCAATTGATTATTTCAAGGTAGAATTGTCTTTTAAGAGGTAAGTTTGTAATTTTCATGTCTAGAGAACTGCAGGAGATAGTTTTCTGGCTTTACTGACTCTTTAAAATTCCTAGACTATGAAATCACGTTTTAAATCAAAACAGATTGTAAAGAGCACCAGTTGCACATATCCAGCTGTGTATCAATGCCTCCACAACTTTGTCATTTCCTAGGCTATGGGTTTTCTTCCCTAGACCATGATATTAGATTTCAAAACAGACTGTAAAGAGCAGCAGTTTAACATATCAAGCAGCAATGCATTTGTCAAAATATTAAAAAAATTATATATCAAGTCATTAGTTTCTGTACTGTTACTGTTCCACTAGTGAGATCATTATATCCATCTTGCTTCATTCAAATTTAATATGAAAAGCAAAGCATTCCTACACAATGCCTGCACATATTGCTGTGCTTTTTTCAACATATTCCTCATATCAAATTAATGGTATTAAAGGGAAGCATCAAGAAAACTGGAGTTCTATAAGAATTATGCAATTTGGTGGATGGAAGATGCAAAAAAAAAAATCTTGAAAAGAGACCTGCTCATCATGGACAATGACACGGGAGGAAGAATACAAGGGAAATTGAGAATGGGAATGCTTAGAGCATTGGGGACAATTCAGAGAATGGCAAGCAAATACAATCCAAGAACAATTAGTGTTATAAAGGTAATACATGCGTGGGAAACTTTGAGTTTCAATAATTACAAAATTAGTCTCTGAAACTGCAGACATTGTGGAGAGAATTTGAAATTAATGAAAGACAATTAACTTTTAGGAAATTTTTCATGAATCGCTGCTAAATTATTAATTACAGAGAGGGGTGTGGTGATATTGTCCTTTAGAAGAAAGTTGATAAGTCCTTGAAATTTTCTGCAGAAACTTGAACATATAGTTGCTGCAGAAGAGAAGATGACAGACATTGACTTACAACATATGAACTAACGGGAGATCTCAGGCACATGAGCAGAAAAGTGTTAAGAACTACAGATTGGTGCAGGAATTTAAACCAAAAGTACAAGGCTCGGTTGAACCAGGTTATTTGAAACAGGCAGGGCAACAAACCATTTGTACCTGCTGCACAGACTGAATCAGCAAGAAAAAATCTTGCTTGTGGCATCCAATTCGAATTTTCAAGTATTTGCTAGTTCACTTTAAACACAATTTATTATGAATGGAGTATTTTCTAGCAATTCAGGGGAAAAAATTTGAAAAAGGGCAGGTTTTAATTCTTCAGAAAAAGCACTTTAGAAGTTTTCCCAACAAAATCATATCGAAAGCAAAGTACATAATGGCAATGCCTATGGCTCTTACTGGAAATTAGTTCAAAATGATAAGAAAGACAAGATTAATCCCAAAACCATCGAATCTTTTTTGGCAGCGGTTTATATATAAAAATATATTTAGCTCAAGAATTACTCGACCTGACTGATCGCATTCTGTAATTACAAATTCTAAATTTATGGATAAAACAAGCCAAGCTTCATTTAGCAAACAAACACAGAAATGGCTGGTTTTACTAAAAAAACGCTTAAAAAGCGAGAATCTTATCAAAATCATGATTTGGGATATGAATAATTAAAAAAGAAAGAGAGAAGCCAGATTACAGGTTTATGATTTAGACAAGAAGATATCAGCATCTCATCAAGTCAAAAACACACACAAGAAAAACCCTTTAGCAAAATAATAAAGGAAATTGGAATATAATTAGTGAGGGTGAGAGAGAGAGACAGCTTTCTCGCGAGGACCAGGTTCAACATGGAATCCGCGACGCGAAATAGAGAGGGCGTCCTGTGTCTTCTGTACAATAATAAATAAATGAATTCATGGACATGGAAAGAACGTAAATACAGATAAAAATCAAAATCAAATAAGAAAAAAGACCTGAGATTTAGATCGGAGGTGTGAAGAAATGGAGGAGGAGCAATTCTTCAGTAAGAAAGCCATCTTTTCTTCTCTCTCTCTTTCTTTCTCCTCTCTGCCTGGCCAGTGCATAGATAGAAGAGTTGCTTGCTGCTACTACTCCGATTTTACGATTTAACCCATAATGTTTTTTGGTTTTTCAATTTTGCCCCATTATATCACCATTTTGCGAGCTTTTCTTCTTCTTTATGCAGCACCAAAATCAAGTTTGATTGGCATGTCGTTTACTTCAAAGCTGGAAATAGCAGATGATTTGTCATTCATTATCTTCTCCCTCCTACCACTCTATACAATCCCTGTTATCTATTTATTATTTTTGTTGATTGAATTTTGAACTGTTTAAAGGTATTGTTGGAACTGATGGTTGTTTTTGCTGAGGGGTTTGAATAATTCCTATTCTTTAATAACAAGTAATTTGATTTCTAGTTACTTGTCAATTCCTAGTTACTTGCCACATTAATAGGCATCTAAAGAGTGGGTTGCAAACATCCTCCTAATTTTGTTTATGTTTATCATATAATTTTGCAAATTCTCAAATATTAGCATCGGAGCCATGATACAAGAGTTTGGTTGAAATTATAGAGTAATAATTTTTTAAAATAACAAAAACATGATAACTAAAAATAGATTTGTGAATCATGCCATCGTGATATTTGATGGGTATTGTGATTACTAGTATATGTTTATGAAGAATTTCATGCAATTAAAAAAAAATATTGGAGTATTGTGGAAGATGGAATTCCTGTAACAATAGAAGAAGCTCAACTCATTAAAGCATAGAAAAAGATGATTGACGATGCAAGGTTTGAGGATATAAAGGTAAAGAACTATCATTTTAGACCATAAATCGATTGATTCTAGAAATTATCTTAAACAAAGATATAACTAAAAGCATTTTAAATTTCTTAAAATAGAAATATCAATGAATAACATGAGTAAAATGAGCATAACAACAAGCTCTTAAAAAAAAAAGAGTTTGAAATGTTAAACATAAAGAGGAGAAAGTCTATGAACAAGCATATTTACCCATATTCTTATTGTGGTTAATAAGATGAGAATCAATAAAGAAAAGATAGATAATGTAATGATCATTGAAAAGGTTTTGAGATCCATAACACACAAGTATGATTATGTGGTGTGTTTTATTGAAAAATCAAATAATTTGGATGTTCTTATCATCGATGACTTATAAAGCAATCTTTTAGTATATTAGTAATGTATGAAACTTCATGTTGTGGAAGAATGAGCATTGAATGTTACTTTTGAAAAATATTTAAAAGAAAAATGATGAGGTCATGTCAGACTTCAAGGATGAGAAAAAAAAAAGAAGCGAGCGTAGCTTTAACAAGTTTACTATTGAATATTATAATTGTCATAAGCTTGGATATTTTTAATATGAATCCAAAAAATAAGATTGTTACAAGAATAAGCTATATGAAAGGTACTGAAGAAATATTGTTAATGGCATATGTAACTAACTGATAAGAAAGCCAACATAGATGAAATATGGTTTTTTAATTATAGATGCAGTAATAATATGTGCGGTAAGAGAAAAATATTTAAAAGAAAAATGATGAGGTTATGTCAGACTTTAAGGATGAGAAAAAAAAGAAAGCGAGTGTAGCTTTAACAAGTTTACTATTGAATGTTATAATTGTCATAAGCTTGAATATTTTTAATATGAATCCAAAAAATAAAATTGTTACAAGAATAAGCTATATGAAAGGTCCTG